TTGATCTGAACATCATTTCCAGAAATCTCCTCAAACTCAGTAAATTCCTTTGTTTCAGCTTTGGTATTGGAGCTACTTGATTCTATGGTTGCCCTGTCTTTGTACATCACATTCTCATTGAAAATGACATCTCTGCTTCTGATGATCTTCCGATTTTCATAGTCCTAAAACCGATAACCGAACTCATCACCACCATAACCAACAAAGACACATTTGTTGGACTTGGCATCAAGTTTACTTCTTTCAGCAGAATTTATGTGTACATAAGAAATACAACCAAACACTCTTAAGTGTGAAAGATTTATTTCTTTCTTGCTCCAAGTTTTCTCTGGTATACCACCATCCAAAGGAACTGAGGGCCCACGCTTGATCAGATAAGCTGCAGTGTTGATGGCTTCAGCCTATAGCAATTTGGGCAATCCGACATGTATCCTCATGCTTCTGGCACGTTCATTCAGAGTTATGTTCATGCGCTCTGCTATGCTATTCTGATGTGGTGTCATGGGAATTGTTGTCTCCATCTTGATCCCATTGTTTGCGTAGAAATCTCTGAATCTACTATTTCTGTACTCTCCTCCATTATCAGACCTCAACCGCTTGACTTTCAAACTAGTCTCATTTTTCACCATGACCTTCCATTTTCTGAATGTATCAAAGACTTCTGATTTCTTCTTCAGAAAATAAACCCACACCTTCCTTGTAGAATCATTGATGAATGTGACATAATATAGTGAGCCTACAAGAGATGGAACTGGAGATGGTCCCCATACATCAGTATGAGCCAACTCTAACTTTCCTGCCTTGGGTGTCTAGCCAATATTTGCAAAATTGATTTTCTTTTGTTTGTCAAATATGCAATCCTCACATAGTCCGACATCTACATTCTTTAGATCCGATAGCTTCCATTTTGACAAAAGCGTCTTCATCCCTTTCTCGCTCATATGGCCAAGCCTTTGGTGCCATAGGTTTGATTTTCTATTAGCATCTGCGGCTGTAATGATATTCTCTAAATTTGAGGTTACATAGAGTGTACTAGTCTTCTTACCACGAGAAATGACGAGTATTCCTTTGGTAATCTTCTATTCACATTCTGAAAATGTTTTGTTATATCCTTCTCCATCAAGATGTCCTACAAAAATCAAATTTCTTTTGAGGAAAAAAATATGTCTCACTCTTTTCAGCGTCCAAGTGGTCTGATTTGGCAACTTTAATCGGATGTCTCATTTTCCGATGATCTTCAAGGTTTCATCATCATCTAGATGAATCTTCCCAAAATCACTACTGGCATAGTTCTCCATGATTTCTTGGCATGAGGTGGAGTGGAAAGATGCCCCTGAATCCAAGATCCATGATTTAATCGAACTGTTGACACTTAGAATCATGGCATCACTTGTCTCCTCTGTCATGCTGACAGATTCTTGTGCGTTGGTATATTTCTTCGTTGCTCGACAATCTCTTTTAAAGTGACCCTTCTTGCCACAATTATAACAGGTATAATATTTCTTTCTCGTTCTTGATTTTCCCCTTCTGGATTTGGATCTACCACGATTTGAATTTCTTTTTGAAGTTCTCCCTCTAGACTCCGTGTGTAAGGCTGAGGAGGTTGATGCTTCACCCAATTCTCTCCGTCGAATTTTTTCACTCAATACCAGATCCTGAACATCGTCGAATTTTAATTTGTTGTTTCCCGACGAGCTATTGACTGTTGTAACGGTAGTATTCCAACTATCTGGTAGAGATTATAAGAGAATTAAAGCTCGAACTTCATCATCGAATTTAATTTCCACTGAACTCAACTGGGTTGTGATTGTGTTGAGTTCATTTAGGTGTTGAGCCACTGATGTCTCTTTCGATATCCGCAAATTGAATAATTGCCTCATCAAGTGAACTTTATTTGAGAGGCCGATGGCTTTTCATACATATTGGAGAGAGCCGCCATAAGACCCGCCGTGGTCTTTTCCTTTGCTATGTTGAAAGCAACATTGCAGGATAACGTCAGTCGGATAACTCCAAGGGCTTGTCTATCGAGAAGAGCCCAATATTCATTCTTCATGCCCTCTGGTTGCTTTCCTGAGAGAGGTTGATATAGATTTTTCTGGTACAGAAAATCTTCAACCTGCATCTTCCAAAAGCCAAAGTTCGCACAATCAAACTTTTCAATTTTCACATTCCCTTCGTCTGCAGTCATCGCTCCCACTAGAGTCTGGCTTCGTTTGGATCATTTTTGACAATTATTGCGAACCACCGTGTATTAGAACACCTCCGTCGACAAGCTCGTATTGTCGACAAAATTTGTACTATTCACAAAATTCACTATTCATGTGAATAGTAATGAATATTAACCTCGTAAAAATTAACAAAATTCACAACCAAAAGCTCTGATACCAGTTGTTGGTAAATAAACGAGTAATTTCCCTATAACCAGATTAGTGAGAATGCAAAATAAAAGCGAAAAAATAATACCCGAAATTGATAACGGAGTTCAACCAATTTTACTTACGTCTTCGGACTGTTGCAGATCTTTTACTAAAGAGAGAAAATTTACAGGTGTTTACAAAACACTCACTACTCGAACTCTCTAAACTCTTTAGTATTGGGAGAAAGAAATGATTTAGGATGATTTTGAAGCTAAATGAGATAGGATATTTATAGTTGAAGCTTGAGGACTATTCTTATAAATACCTTAAAGTTTAATGACTCAATTTGATGTTTATCCCTTTATAATTTTTCAACAAAAACTGCCCAAATTGTTGAATTATATTCAACCACCCCACTTGCTCAGCCGCCCATGTTTTAATTGTTTAATTTCAACATCATTATGTTTCAAAGTCGTCATTTTTTTATTTAAAAAAACAGTTGTCTAAGTTGAACATTAACATGATGACCGAGACATGATAGTTGTTTGAGATTCTATGATAAGATTTTATCATATCACAATCAACAAGTTAATGTTCAGCTCAGAACACCGTCAATTTTTAAAGAAAAAGAACGAGTTTAGGATATAATGAATAGTTGAGTGATCATTTTATAACTTTCAATAGTCGAGAATACTCAACAAAGTAAAACTCTATGGTTAGAAGATTATTTTATAACTTTTAATAATCGAATTACTTAATAAAATTATATCCGGGGAGATTATTTGTGTACACTACCCATAAAAATATGGATGAAAGTCTTTCGCCTACTTTCATGGCTTCTACATGTGGTATGCCGGTTTAGCTTTAGGTGTGTAGGTCCACAACCACACGCATCCACCCAATTCGTAGATTATGATTTAGATTTAGATTTGTAGACTACTTTTGAGCAACACCATTTTTATCATATTGGGTGGTAAAGATTTTGTTACCTTTTTCATATCCTACGCGAGTGGGAACGAATCATCATAATTTGGACCTTTAAAGCCCCATTATGAAAATAAATAATAAAAAAATACGTGAGAAGAAGAATATTTATATTTTATAAGATTAGAAGTTGATGTATGAATCATTGCCTCATGCAATCCACCTTGTTCCCCATCACTGTTATATTCTAGTATATGGTAAAAAACTAAAAATGATCCATGCAAAAGGTTTGGTAAAAAGCTAGATAGGATCAACATAAAAAGTTAAACTCTATTTTTTTAAGAGTTAATTGTGTCATATGTCCCCAATCTATGACCATCATTTCAAATTAGTCCTTAAACTTGTAAACATGCCAATTTCATCTCTAAACAATTACTATCATTCTAAACTAGTCATCAAACTTTTGAACATTTAATTTTCATGCCCGAGCTGTGATCCTCATCCTAAATTGGTCCCCAAGCTTTTTGATTATTTTAATTTTATCCTAAATTAATCGTATATCTCCCGTTAATAAAATCATTAGGCAAGTAGTGATAAAAGAAGCCAAGATGGAGCCCACCCGAGGAACATTGGTGCAAGATTAACACGGGTGGTGCAAGGTGTAACAAGAACGGTGAAGCAACATGTGGGGGAGTAGCTCGAAACCACAAAGGAGGATGGCTATGGGGTTACACTAAGAGAATTGGACTATGTTCTACGTTGGAAGCCGAACTATGGGGCACACTCGAAGGACTTCGTTCAGCCTGGAATGAAGGTTACAAGAAGGTGATACTGGAAGCAGACAACTCCAAGGCAATGGAGTTGCCAAGAGAAAGCCCAAATGAAGAACGATGTTTCACCATACTGCAACACATAGACTCATTCTTGGCCAAAGAGTGGGAAGTATCATTGAACTACATTCCAAGAGAAGTAAATCAGGTAGCTGATATTATGGCTAAATATGCATGAGAAGTCCATTCTGATTATCTACGCTTCATCGAACCTCCAGGAGTAGTTCTCGATAGAGTGAATAAGGACATGGCAGGCCAAGAGTAGTTTAATTACTAGCTAGTTTTTAGCTTCTTTTCACAACCAAAAATAAATAAATAAAGAATAAACTCTTCTTAAAGTATTACCAAGATTTACTTTTATATAATTCTTATTTGTAACTTAATTATGATTATTAAAATTAAATTTAACGATTGAAAGTGAAAATTATATTTATAAAATAAAAAGATAGCTTAAAAAATTACGTAAATTATATTTAAACAAAAATAAAATAAACATTGATGATATAATCAATTGTATTAATTTTTAAAATTTTCTTATAATTTATCCATAAATAATAAAAAAGAGATATCATTTTTTTCGATAAAAAAAGAGATATTATATAATATTATATTATATTCTTTTTGTGATTGGTTAGAGCATCAAACTTTCCAAATGAGTCCATAAATAATAAATTATTATATAAAAAGCAAAATATTTTTATTTTAATTTTATCCGAGAAAAAGAAATCTAAATACAACAGACAGCAACAAAAGGAAAGAAGAAAAAGCTATAAGCAGTGGGTCCCATAATCTTTCATGATGACGTGGCAATAACTCGGTGCAAAATGGATGAAAACCGGAGGAAAACGACCGGATGGGAACTGAACCGGAAGAGAAGGCAAAAGAAAATAAAAATCAGAACTCTCATATGATCTATGTGAATTAATTTAAGCCAAAAAAAAGTTTAAATTTTTTATTTCTCTCAAGTTGTCTTCAAATCGTTGATAGAGATTCGTTGAATCTTGAGAGTTAAGAATAGATTTAAAGTTTACATGATGCTGATGCCATTAACGCATCGTTTTAAGCTTACAAATCGAAGATGAGAAGTGTAAACGACAGCGTTGAGACCGTTAACGCCGCTGCCTCCGCCATCGTCTCCGCCGAGTCGAGAGACCAGCCTACCACCGTTCAGGTATATCCACTTTTATCAGTAATATTTGTAAAAAAAACAAAATTCAGTGTTCTTTTCCCGTTTGGTTGCCGAGAAAAAATACTGTAAAATTCACGATCATCGGGTTACTCAAGCTCTCTTTTGAATTGAGAATCCAGAAGTGGGGAGGAGAGAGCGGAGAGTTGAGTTCTTGAAAGAAAAAAAGCCATGTTTATGTTCTTTGCTTGCTATTCTTTTTTTGTGATCTGATTCAGTATTGAACTTTAATTTTCTCCGTTATCTGTTTGGTTGCCGAGAAACTGAGGGGAAACTGAAAGTAGTTGAAATTCGGATCCGGAGTTCTAAACTTCAGCAGAGCTAGAGTCAACTCAACCTTGTAGTTTTACCTTTTTGCTTTTCATGCTTCTCAAGAATAAACAGCAAAAATGAAAATCTTATCATTGGAATTCAATTAAAAATAGAAAAGGAAATAAAAGATCGCTTTACGCGTATACTTTAAGGAGCAGATTTGAGTTTAGAAAGTTATTTTTTCCCTTTTAAGTAAAAAAGTGATCTTTCTGGTAGTTTCAAGTTTGTTTGGTCAGTTTTCTACAGTTCCTTCACGGGTTGGGTGGTGGGTGCATCTCCTTTATTCATTGTAGTGTCCTTCTATGGAAGAACTCTCTGATATCGGGTTATGGTGGAAAATTAGTCGATCCGGTTTACGCAATGTAAAAGAAATGGAGCTTAATTTGATATTTGATAGGAATGATTTATGTAATTTTAGCCTTTTGTTCCATCTTATTGATCTGCCTACGAAAGCGTATTCTAGGAAGAATGCAATTTGATCAGCCAAAATTGTTGACCGACCCATCTTATAATCTCGGACTAAAAGTTATATTCAAAAAGTGTGTTCTTTGCCGTCTATTCTTTGGTCTTACTTGGATCACTGAAACAGTGATTAAGGTCAGAGTAAATGCTTGCTCAAATTGCCTTTTCGGCAACAGTTTTGGCATGATTTTTATAATCAATGCTCTCACAACACACACACGTACATTGAGACCTGTTTCTGCTGTCTGTGTGTGTATTTTGCGCTGTGCAATTTATTTGTTTTTGTCACGTATACCACATTGTACATGCGAAGTTAGCAAAGAAATATGGAAAATGGAGTTTTATAAGCATACTGCAAGGATAAGATCCAGGCATACAAGATTTTTTCAATTTTTTATGAGGATTTAGTCATTGTTATGTATTCATTACCTGTTACACTTATAGATAGTTATTTGTTCATCTTGCTCTTCATCAATCCTTCATCTGCATTTTATTCTAGCAGTTTAGAGTTGAATCAATTTACGTATGCTTGCTACCTTACAGAGAGTGCTTGAGGATGAAAATAACTAATCTTCTGTATGGAATCCTGACTCGCACTCTTTTATTTAACTACAGAAGAAAAGATGGGGAAGCTTCTGGAGCTTTTACTGGTGTTTTGGATCTCATAAGAACAGTAAACGAATTGGCCATGCTGTCCTTGTCCCTGAACCAGTGGTACCTAGAGCTGCAGTTTCAACTGCTGAAAATGTAAGCAATCCAACCAGCATTGTAATGCCCTTTATTTCCCCTCCCTCATCTCCTGCATCATTCCTGCTATCGGATCCTCCATCTGCCACCCGATCACCGGCTGAATTGCTATCCCTAACTGCCCTTTCGGTTAACACTTACTCTCCCCGCGGACCTGCATCCATTTTTGCCATAGTGCCTTATGCATATGAAACCCAGTTAGTCACACCTCCAGTATTCTCTACGTTGACAACTGAACCATCTACAGCTCCTTTTACACCCCCTCCAGAATCTGTTCAGCTGACTACATCTTCATCTCCCGAAGTACCGTTTGCCCAATTGCTGACATCTTCCTTGGGGAGTACTCGGATAAACAGTGGGATCAATCAGAAATTTGGATTGTCCCATTATGGATTTCAGTCTTATCAAATATACCCTGGGAGCCCTGGTGGTAATCTCATATCACCTGGGTCGGTAATCTCTAATTCAGGCACATCCTCTCCTTTCCCTGATAGACGTCCAATCCTTGAGTTCCGCATGGGGGAGGCTCCCAAAATCTTAGGATTTGAACATTTTACTACTAGGAAATGGGGTTCTAGGCTAGGATCTGGATCATTAACACCAGATGGACTGGAGCAAGGTTCACGACTAGGTTCTGGATGTGTGACTCCAGATGGTCTGGGTTTGGGTTCAAGATTGGGTTCAGGATCATTGACACCTGATGGTTTAGGCCCTGCCTCAAGAGATGGTGTTCTAGTGGAGAGTCAGATTTCTGAGGCAGCATTGCTTTCTAACCCAACACATAGACCTAAAACAAGTCATTGGCATCAAGCAGAACCATGCCAGAGTATGAATATCCGAAGGATTTAGTGGCGCAGGGCGGGATAGAAAAAGATGGACAAACAAAGGATGCAGAAAGTTCTTGTGATCTGTATATTAGAGAAACATCCAAAGAAACAGATGAAAAGGTGTCAGGAGAAGCTGAAGAGGATCATTGCTATCAAAAGCATCGCTCCGTTACTCTCGGGTCAATTAAAGAGTTCAACTTTGACAATAGAAAAGGAGAAGCTTCTGACAAGCCCACCATAAGGTCCGAATGGTGGGCGAATGTAAAGGTTTCCGGAAAGGAAGCTAGGCCCGGAAACAACTGGAGTTTCTTCCCTATGATGCAGCCAGAGGTAAGCTGAATTTTGTAAACTATGCAACTTAGTTTCACCTCCATGCATAAAGTCATAAAACTCGTTTAAATAGATTTGCAACACTAAACCACTAGCCTTTCAGTTGATTTATCCGAAGGTCGAAACTCGTACTTTCTTCAATAGTCTTGGCATAATTTGATGGCGAAGTGAACTAAAAGGCTAGTTTTCAGAGGTCAGAAGAGTGTTTATTCATTATGACCTAAAAGATGATCCAGTGAGGGAATAATTCATAGGGATAAACTGTGTGGGTACCGATAGATCATTCTTTTAATATGTAATGTTGTATTATTATTATTACTTTTTTTTAAACATGCAACTGCAAGAAGGATATATATATATTTTCATGCTAGTACTCTGTTCTCTGTAGCTCATTTGGTGATTTCTGTGGTTAATATCTTGCTCTTTTCGACATCTTTCCCGTATCACTGCATATACTGGACCAGAAATTTAACCTTGATTGGTTATGCCACGGTGTTTGGATCATTTGCATCTAGTTAAGCTAGTTATCCCGACCGTTTGTTTTTCTTCAACTATAATCCGATATAGGTGCGATACTATGATCTTCGGAATTTACGCTAAGTATCTTTTAAGAAAACCGTGTATACATGTATCCGGCAATCCATTCGAGTCCGGATTACATGGTAGTTAACCACAAGGGCTCTGCATATCATTGATGCCGGAGAAAACATGTTTGGGGCGGTAGTCCTTGATAAGTCTATATATGGTTTTAATAGACAGATTTTTGTAGGGCATAGATCATTAAAGCAATGAAGTCCATAGTAGATCATAAATTGATGGCCATTTATGGTTGATGCCGGCAATACTTGTGCTGGCTCAAGGACAAGCATAACAATGTTTTGTTAATAGGGATGAAATCAACAATATTTACTGTCGGAGTTGTTTAAAATTGTCTAAATTTGCAGGGATAAGAGTGAATTATATTTTTTAGAGGTAAAAATAATTTTATCACTGTTCCAAGTTAACTTTTTTAACATCTTAAAGGTTATGGTCCGTAGCCTGTAGGGTGTTCAATAGGTTGGTTTAGTTAACCGACCGAATTGAAATTTTTTAAAAATAATTAAGCGAACCAAACAAAGTTCGGTTAATCGGTCGATTAATTGAATTAATCAAAATTTTAAATAAAATATATTAAATATTAAATATTTTGTTTAATTCGTTTAATTCGGTTAAAATCAAAATTTATACGCTCTTAAAGTTATTAATATATAAATAATATATTAAATATTTAAAATTTTCAATTAATTCGGTTAATTAACCGTTTCGAACCGATAGTCAAACTTTCAAAAAATTATTAACCATTAACCGATGAAACTTAAAATTAATTGATTGATTAATTGGAAAAAAATCGATTTGATCGGTTTACCGAAATTTTTAATACCTCTAATGGTATGTAATAATCCCTTAAAAGGCTCTAATTTTGGCCTTCGATAACAGCCGAAGCTGATGCCTAAAGCAAAGAGAGAAAATATGTGACAGGCTGTGCCTAAAGCAATGGACTTAAAATAAAATAAGAATTATTCGTTGAAAAAAATTAAGGGCGGATATTCGATTGAATCAAGTTAAATATTTTTGAATTAGATAAGTCGATGAATTATATTTTATTATTTAAATGTTATTTGATTTTATTTTTTGAAAATTTTAAATTTAAGTTAATTGAGTCTATTTTTATACAACTTATAACGACACATGCAGCAAGCAGCAAGCTGTTGTGGCATGTTTCGAATGTACACTTGAATCTTTCGAACGATGGTAAAGTGTGACATCCCATGGCTCTCCACTCTGCTTTTATCACTTTCACTGGCTTGAAACTGATAAGATCATAGAAAACAGTACTTTTGTCTAATCACGGCCCTCCATTATGTTATTGGCATAATGATAAATGTACCCCTTAAGTTTTATACAATTTATCATGTTAGTCATTATTATTGTTTAATTACATTTAATTATCATATTTTAAAAAATAGTTAAAGTTGAGTCCTAATTTTATAAAAAATGAATCGTCTCTAACGTAAAAACTAATTAAAATATTGATTTTCAATCGTTTTTGTAAAAAAATAAACTTTTGGAATGCTTTAGCATTGTCGTCTGCACTTTCATATTGCTTTCCATTTTCATCTTGAAGAATCTGTTTCGATTAAAGTTTGTTTTGGTTATGATGGAATTATTGTTATTTTTCATATTTTAATTAATCAATAATTCAATTTAAATTATATTTTACTAAGATTATGATTAATTTTATGAGAATTATTTATTAATATTTTATATATTTAAATTTATATTATTTGTATGAAATAAAAAATGGGATTTAAAGAATGATTTTATTGATAGAATCAAAAAGATTATAACGGTTATTGAAGGTTCATTCCTTCCGTTTTGAACGAAAAATTACAATTGATGATAGATCAATTGTTGACCGGTATCAAAGAATTGTGTCTTCATAAAGAGGTAGAGCAAAGAAAAGTTAAAATGAAGTGATTTCATTAAGGATGTATCTTGTCTTTCGGTCAGGCTCGAGAGATTATATAGGGACATATTAGTGTGCTTGTCAGCCGTAATGATATAACAACTACTAGAAGGCTAGCAATCTAAGTGGATATGATTAGGTGACGGAGAATTTAGCTCTGGTGGATTATGCAGACCTATCAAAGGTCGTATCATTAGAATTACCGCTTCTCAAAATTTAGATCTTTTAAAGATTTTTTAACGTCAAAGAGTAAAAAGTTATTTTAGGATTTTTTTTACTGTGAATTACAAAAATGTTATGCATATAACCTTTAATATGATATAATGAATTTTATATTTTATATATTACAAATATAAAAATGGACAATGATGATTAGCATTGATTATGTTTTGCAATTTCAAGAGTCAAGCTAATAAAAAAACTTTATTTAGGGACCAAATAGATAAAAAAACCAACTTTGGGGGCTAAATATGGATTTAACCGGAAGTTAATAACACAGTGACATTTTAACTAATCCCCGCCAAAACTAGTTATCCATGCATTCCTCTCGCCCACCTGACCTTCTTTCTAGTGTCCGTTTGACTGGTAGCTTCAAAATCCACTCTCATCCCTCCATGCCTACTCCATCTCCCTTACTCACCACAATCCCTAAATCATTTTCTTCTGTCTATGGACCATGGAAATCGCCGCAGATCCTTCATCAGAAATCTCGAACAACGATCGCGATTCTTCCGCCGTGTCGTCATCAATCTGCGATCATGATCTTCTCGTCCAATTCGAATCTATCCGATCCAAATATTCATCCTTGGAGGAGAATATGCGTCTCCTCCAGCAACAAAGAGGCGAAGCAATGGCTAACGCCGCTACTTTAACGGAGAAAGTCCACGGCTTGTCACTCGAGCGAGACTTTCTTGGCCACCAAATCGAGGAATTTGAAGTCGTTCTGAGAGAAAACGAAGAAGATTTCGCTAGAAAGATCGACGAGCAATCGAGATCGAAGCTAGAACTCGAGAAACAACTTGAAATTTCTAGAGGGAAAATCGAAGAGCTTGAATCCAAAACTGATGTTAGAAATGAAGTTTTTGAGAAAAGCTTGGATTCGATCCGGTCAGTGAAGGAAAATTTGGTCAAACTCATCGAAAATTTGAATGATGAAAAGGCGTTGATGGAGAATGTCGATAGTGAGAGCGAGAAAACAGAATTAGAACACAAAGAACTGGGGATTTTTTGGAGAGAAATTACCACGGTTTTAAAACTTGCGAGCGAAGCTAACTCGAAAGCAAACGAGTTCAAGGAAGCAAGAAAGAAGGAGAAGATGGAATTGGAGAGAAGCCTTGTGAGTTTAACGGAGGAGAACCGTGACATCAATAGCTTGTTGAGGATCGCTTTGGTGGAGAAAGAGGCAGTGGAGAAGAACTTGAATAAGTTGAAAGGGAACAATGAGCAAAAGAGGGTGCCATTGTTACATATTGCAGAGCGGGGGCTGCAGAGAGTTGGGTTCGGGTTTATGATGGGAAGCGGAAGCAATGAGCAAGCCATCGAGAGTTCCAGGGCCAGTAGTACTTCTGCTGCTGGGAGTAAATCGGATAATAGCGAATGTGAAGAGGAGGTTGTTAGCCTGGTATGTTCTAGTTCACTCGCTTCATCTGTGTTTGCATTGGCATATTAGCTTGACATGGATGCTTCAATTTTTCCGTTCAATTGAACCCAAAATTCATATTGGTTAAGATCCCTTAACTTGTTCTTTTTGTGGCTTGAAAGCTTAGTTTTCATATATGTTCAAGCTTAAATCTGGTATGACACATACCGTTCGCTAAGAATGAGTGATAGTTGGTAATTCTAGCTAGCTGGTATGCGTCTGTACTATACATTGATCAATTTGCAACGAGCAAAATGTCTAACTTCTATCTTCGACAGGCCTCTATGGTGGAGAAGATAATGAAGAAGTTAAGAGTTGAAAATTCTCAATTACGACGATCTTTGGAGGAATCTAGGTATTTCATTAATGTTTGCTGCTATTTCTTATGTTATTCGAACTTGCGTCTGATAAATATTCCAATGAGTATGAGAATATGATCCTTTACATACACGAGAAAACTTAATTGAGCATATATAGGAGACATAGTCGTATCGGAACTCCCGGTGATTGCACTTCTCTATGTAATATTTTGCTTTTGATGACAATGTAGACATCCTTTGATAGTAGTTTATAACTTCAACGATATCGTATAGGTAAAAGCTCTATCAATGTGCCTCTTTTGGAAGATGAAAAGATTATGAATCTATGCTCTCCTGTCCTTAAATGCTCAATTCTTATTCCTGCTAAAAGATTTGTTGTTATCGACTATTTGTGTCGTTGCTAATCTAGGTCCGATAACGAGCGACTGCAGAGTCTTACAGAGAAACAAGTTCAAAAAATTGAAGAAAACACACCGTACATTAAGGAATTGGAAGACAGGGAGATGGTTTTAGCTCAAAAAGTTAGCATCTGTCTTTTTTTTTCTGCAACCCTTGGACATGTTATGTTCTTTTCATTCCTAACCTCATTCACCCTTTCTCTGTTCTTAGTTCCTTTATTATTTTATTGAAATTTCAACTTTATAAGGTCCAGGAACTATTGATGGAAATAAAAGAAACTGAAGCAGATGTTGCTAGATGGAGGGAAGCTTGTGAGTTGGAAGTAGAAGCTGGAGAAAAAGAGGTTAAAGAGCGTGACAAACTGGTACGTAGTTCTATTCTGTCGATATGAAAAATCAAACTTGTGTGTCTGAAAATGAATACGAATACTATTTTATCTTTTACATTACTCGATCTCGGATGCGTGTGTCGGATAGGAATATTTAAAGTTTTCTATGAATACGGAGGATCATGTCCTCGGATGACACAAACGTCAAATACATGTGCTTCAAGCAAAAGTAGTCGTAGTAGCATAGATAATCATTATTTGTATCTTGGATAGAATTTAATTGGAGTTGTTGAGATAAAATCCAGCAGCGTTGATGTTTGATCAGGTTGTCATTTTGAAGCAAGAGTTGGACAAAACAAAGGCAGCACTGGAAATATCCAATGGCAAATTAAAGCTGAAAGAAGAACTCGCAGCCGCTGCTATAGCCGCACAGGCAGCTGCAGAGCTGTCTCTGCAGCTAGCCGACAGCAGAGCTGCAGGGCTTCGAGAGCTGATCGAGGAGTTAACGAAACAATTAGAAGAAGCAGAGGGCAGAGAGAGGAGCCAACGTAAGCTGAGGCACCGTTGTTGGCCATGGCAAGTCCTGAAAATGAATATCACTAACAATACAAATAGTAGAACTAAGAATGTTAAACGCATGCTACCAGAAATGCAGGCCTTGCTTTCATAACACCAGGTAATTGTAGATGTACCATATAAACCATGCTGTTAAGTGTTACCTTATCTTGCCTTAAATATGTCAATTGTTGCTTTTTGTCTCTTGTAAACCATACTTATATTCACCAAGGCCTTCAAAATTAAAAAATCAAAAAGAAAGATAAGATTTTGAATAAAATACAAACATCAAACTTCATGTCGGACCATTATGGTATAAAGGAGAACAGTTTCAAGTTGCAAATTATACCACTTGGCAACTTCAAGTTGCCTATTGAAGGCTATCACACTCTCTCTCTGTGGATATAGTTTCTTCAGTAATCTATCCCTTGAAAGCAACCAATTAAAATGAAGGGTGAATTATATGTTTAGTACCTACATTATCAATTTTAATTCATTTTAGTGCCTAAACTTTCAGTTTTTTCAAAATTATACCTAAAGTTTAGTTTTCGTTTCATTTTAGTACCCCACTGTTAAAAACTTTTAGTTTTCGATTCATTTTAGTACTCTCGTTCAAAATTTAACTTCTTTGTTTTGAAAAAAAAATTAAAAGTTTAGGTACTAAAACGAACTAAAACTGATAGTTTAGATACTAAACACGTTAAGTTTTTAATGGCGGGTACTAAAATTAAATGAAAACTAAACTTTAGGTATGATTTTGAAATAATTGAAAGTTTAAATACCAAAACGGATTAAAACTAATAGTTTAAGTACTAAATGTGTAATTTACCCTAAAAGAAATCCGAGCAAACAAAGATTGACATAAAACAAACATCTAAGCTTATAGATCATACCAACTATAATTCGTTTGTAATTTCTTTAGCACTTTGCGGCTTGATTCAACTCCCAACTCGATTCTCACGAGTTGATTATTAAAAAGGTTATAATCGTAGATGATAAAAAAATTGAAATGTTTAGTTATTGATTTTTTTTTTAAAATTGTGAGTCAAATTAATAAAATCTTAACTATATAAATAAAAAAAATGCACTGCCTCTTATGATGTAGGGAACGACATTTAATTTGAATTCGACGAGTTTATATCTAATCCAACCTTATAAGATTATTTTTAAAATTAAGTTCAGATTAAGCCAGTTTTTTGAGTTACAAGATCAGGTAAGGTTCAAGTCTTGGGGTGAAGAATATTCAAACCATGAATAATTAATATAATTAATTTTTTATATATTTGGAGATAATTACTATAATACTATTGTATCTATATATTTTTAATTATATCCTAATTTCACCTAATAAAATAAAAAATATTATATCAGGTTGAGTGTAGATTTTTATTTCATAAATCGGATCAAATTTCGAATTGGGTTGGACTTTCCTGATCCTGGGTCGAGTCGAACGTTAGATGAAGTGTTATACTCAAATCAAGTTTAAATCGACTCAATTCATGATCATCTCTACTACCGTGTCAACGTTAACTTGAATAAAAAATATTACAGGATTCAATGTCAAAAAATTAGTATATATGGACTAAATTTTAAGTTTTAACATAGCTCAAACACCCTAACATATTTAAACCCTAAAAGCTAGATCGTCTAAAAGTAACTGGGCTCTAAGAGATTTTAGGTTGGGTCAATCCTAGAGCCATTATTTTTCTCTGCACGTTCTTTATTTCTCGGCTTCTCAGCCCATAACCCATGTTACAAACCCTAAAAACCTAGGGTTAGAGCTCAATATAATTGTTATATCACCAACCCGAAACCCTATTTTCTTTGAACTCCGCCTAATTTATCCCGTCTCCACAGGTACATCTTCACTATCTTCTTTAGTATCTGTTTTACAGAGAATTTAGCTCTTTTCGATTTTCTGGGAAGCGAGACTGTAAGCTGAAAACCCAGAAATTGCGTGTGACGTGTTCATTATCTGCTCTGCGTTGATTGGTGGGTTTGTTTTAGCTGATGCTTTATGTGCTAGAGTTAGTTTTGAAGCCCATTTTCCCATGCGATTTTATCTAAATGTAGATCTTGGTATTGAGGTATTTGGAGATTAATATGCAGCTGTATTTTGTTTTTGTTAATTGGTGCTGCAAATATATTTTGTGGAATTTGAGCTGTTTATGGAGGAAAGTATAATTAATGAAGGGTTTAATTCCTATTTTAAAATGATTTATCGACTTCTGTTTGTAATTCGAATATGAAAGATTATTGAAATGTTGATTGAATGTATTGTTTTTTTTTTGTTAGTATTATATAGTTGTTTTGTTGTTTCTGAAACAGGCATGGCTACCAAGCAGCCAAATACTGGCCTCTTTGTAGGATTGAACAAGGGTCATGTTGTGACCAAGAAGGAGTTGGCTCCTCGCCCCTCGATTCGGAAAGGAGTAAGTACATCTATTCTCATTTATGTAGATTATTTGTAATTGTGCATGTCTTCTATCATAAGAGAAAGTGGAACTTGCTTAGGTGAAAAAGATAAATGGCTCAGATTAGGGCATGAGTTTTAGTTATGGTAATGTGCTTGACATGTTTTTGGCGGGTTACAATTCCGTGTTCATGTTCGGATATGCATGGACGTGAGTACATTAAAATAGTAGGAGCAACATAGGAAAATAGCGGTGTTAGATCTGTTTTTATTCTGTGTCTATCTTTTCGAAGACTTGTTTCGGCCTAGAAGTCGGTCCCGATTACTTTATTTTATTCAGAAAACAAGCAAGAGAGTCCATTTCGTAAGGAGCTTGATCAGAGAAGTTGCTGGTTTTGCACCATATGAGAAGAGGATCACTGAGCTTCTGAAAGTTGGCAAGGACAAGCGAGCTCTAAAGGTAGCTAAGAGGAAGTTGGGAACTCACAAAAGGGCAAAGAAGAAGCGTGAAGAGATGTCCAGCGTTCTCCGCAAGATGAGGTAATATCTCTATCTGGCAAGCAAGTATATGTTTTCTTCTTATGTTTCGAGGGAGCCTTTGCCATCTGAAAATGGTAATAAATATTGGTGCTCGTGTGATGTCCCCTGCAGGGCCCATGGTGGAGGTGCAGAAAAGAAGAAATAAACCTTTGTTTTCTTGGTTTTACTCTGTTCTCGTTTAGGAGCAGCTACATTGTTTAGCCTATGTTTCGTTTTTGTTGTTGTTTGAGACAAAAGTTTATTTTGAGAACTTATTGATTCCAGTTAGATATGAGAAATTGGAAAAAGTGGTGACTTAAAAGTTTCTACATTAGATTCGTTGATTCAAATTGATCGGTTGATTTCGATTTTTCTTTTGAATTGATTTGATTTTTATTTAGAAAAACGAAAATAAATTTAGTTTATTTTTAATTTTTCTACATCGATTCGATCGATTTCTCACTCATGCATGTATTATCTGAAAAACCTACACTCTGTCCACCCTTGTTAATGTCATCATTATTTCGTTTTATTCACACCTTCAATACTTGACCTCAAGTGGATTCACGTATGGTAGATTGTTAACATGTGAAGGTGATGATTAAATTGTGTAAAAGCCACAACTACGTAAAATGTACATTTTTAGGTCACCTAGTACCTCAGATTTATGTGGACGTGTAAAGGGTAGTAGAGAGAAAGTCACTTTTCGTCTTCCCTACTTAAGCATATACCCAAACTATTTCGAAGTCACCCAACTGATGTCGCAGAAATGTTAGACAAAGTGGCGGAGATCGAATCTAACTCGAAGATGGTTTTCATGATCACAAGATAAGTTTAAGTTGTAAAGAGCACATTGATCATCAGATAATTGTACCCATAGCTGCTTGGTCCATATCTTCATCCTTCATTACATAATCTTATGACCTCGACAAAAACATCCCAGTCATAAGTATTGTCAAATATTGGGGCAGCACTCGACAATAATCATGAAACTCAAGTTGAATGACAAAGAGCTTAAAACCTTTGGTCATCGACTAAGTGAACCTCTATTGACCACAAAGTAGATGCTCATCGACATCTAAAATCTGCATGAATTCAAAGCCTCACATGATAAAGAACTCACCTGGCACCTTTCGGTAAATATAATGAGATCCATTTGGCAAAGATATCATGAGAAAAACAACCTGCTCCCAACCTCGCCATCGATTCTAGTACAACCTTAAAAAGAAACAAGAGTCAAGTGATGGATCCATTGAGGATGGATAACATAAAATTTTTAAATGATGTGCATGCAAATAAAATTTTAAGGTGAACATCAATAAAAAGAAAACTCAAATTTTATGATAGACACATAAATTTTCGTACCATTAATAAAATAAATGATAAATTAAAGGAAACTCGAATTTTAAGATATGTGCCTACTCTCACCAAGTTGTATCTCTGCCATTGAAGACACGTGCAGCAGTATTACAGGTAGTAGAACATTTCCACCACGTTCTAGAGTCTTTGAGATGATGTCTGCAGAAACATCCCGACTAAGTTTGGTTTGTGCGACCATATTCCTTAAGTGCAGGCGTCGGAGTACAAAAGAAACAAAAATGATTGCTATGGTTCCAAAAAAAACAAAACGTTTCAGTGAAGCGCTGGAGCCTGAATCCCCAAGGTCGTTGGAACGGTGCCGTTTTAAATCTCTCTCCTTCCTTTGTGTATATGTTTTGTATATATGTTTTTATTTTGTTTGATTAATTTCTCTTTTTCATTTACGACTTTTTTCCTTCTTAAGACTGAATTTGACGTCACCCTTCCAATTAACTTTTATTTAGATTTATGTAGTTTTTTTATTTAAGTATTGATTAATCTGAGTTAAGTATAAGATAATATTTGTTTAAAAAATACTCTCAATCATTTGATATTAAATGTTTACACCCGTGATATTTCTGATGTTCGAACTCGAGACCTCAAAAGAATAACAACAGTTTTTTTACCACTGAATCACTCGATTCATGCGAGGCATGTTAGTTTTCGTGTGGGGGTATATTTTGCCGTCAATAGTGAGGCAAAAATGGAAGGCCAGAAAGCATTTTAGAGCAAATTGTTGATTTTGCAACCTTCTTATTGTTCAAGCACTAGCCTCACCAAGTTTGTTTTCTGGCTTTCATTAGGGAGATGTATCATTGGCAAAGTTGGATTTCATAAAGTAAAACATTGAATTGTTGACATATTACTCTACTTCTCAATGGCAGAACATCAAAGGAATATACAACCAAACGGTTCTGCGTACCCCTACGAGACGCAACCTATCTGGGATGCGCCACAGGACGAAATGGCTCACGCTTCTATCTGCCTAGCCTTGTCATTGAGATTTGGCATGGTTCCTTCCCATAATTCAAGTAGCTCCTTCCTTAACCACGACATGAAAATTACAGGTCCCAGCGTTGAAGGTACCCACACGTAAAAATGCAAGTCAAAGACGATGTGGAGGTGCAACAGACAATAACATTCAATAACAACTTTAATAAAGCCTTGTCGGATTTCTATCGAGTAAACAGGGATAACAGAAATGATCAGGACAAGTACAACATGTTCGCAAAATCCCATGCTAAATATAGAATGTCAACAAGTGTAAATAAGCTGTAATGACAAAATACCAGATAAAGGAGAGCAGGTTGAGGTGAGTGAGTCAAAATGCCAGCAGCAAGTGCACTTATTAGTCCAACAGCATACCCAGGAAGGGCATACCATATATATTTGTGCCCCATAGAGGAATGTTAATCTAAAAGATTTACCGTTTCCGTACTCTTTCGATGATCAAAACAGAGGACCAATTCTAGCAGCATTGCAGGAATAGTCTACAAGAACCCAAGAAAAGAAAAGAAAAAGTCAGAAACACTAACGATTGGGGAGGGAAAAAAGGGTTGACAACAGCCAGCAAAGTAATGTGGAACTGATAAACAACGCTACGATGTTATTCTCAAAATGTCACATGCATATTATTGGAGTGCTTCTCTCTACAAATGCATGAATTGCAAATAACAAATGGTTGGTTGACAAGTTCAGACCGCTGAGATCCCAAGTGCAAGACTGCAAGTGTAATTTGCAAACCAGAATAAACTTCTCGAGCTTGAAACTGAAATGACCATTTAAGGACCTACACCTTGAATATACTTTCTCCTGGATGTTTAAGTTCCATTACATGTCTCTGCAGCAGACAAGCTTCTCTTTCCGGAGGGTAACATCTTTCGATCTTCATTTTGCAGACGAGACATAAGTTTGAATTTTACCACGAGGTCCTTCTATCTTGATCTAATCACTTTACAGGTACTTATTTTTATCACTGGCTTAAATTTTGGCCTGCTTTTATATCCACATCTCTAGTGATTTATAAGGCAGGTATGAACTATGAGTGTGATTTATCATGTAATGTACCCATCCAAACCCTGTTTTAGTCCTGAAACTATTCACCCAACCAAATGTACATGACGGGATAGAGAAAAATCTAAATCCAAATTGCACGACATCGATCGACCATCCAAAGCTGGTATGAACTCTGCGATGCTCTTATCAATAAAAGAATGATTATGCTTTTTGCTTGCAGCGCAAGGTATTTAACTTCCCTTTCTGCAGTGTTTCTTTCCCCAGTATGCATTGAAGTATATCACAACGCCCTATTTTATCTTGAACTCAGCTTATGATGTATACCAGGTACATTTCTTTGCTCTTTTTGTTTAATATGAACTCGACACTATACCCCGTCGAGTCAATGTTCTAGCATTTGTAGATATAATCAGTGTTGATCACTGAGTTTCTTCCCCAACAGTTTCATCATAGTTTGGTTCCACCTTTGACCGATCTGCACGGGCACTGGAATCGTTGCAAGCTTAATCCGGCAACATGCAATTCAACCCAGATTAATGTATTGCAAGGTTTGAGGCGAGATATGCTTTCGGCGCTTTATTCATTCTACAGAAATTCAGGAAGAGGAGGAATGTTTATAAATTCATGCTTTGTTCATTGTCAAAGTGAGTCATGGTTTTCTGTTGATTCTAGGGATGGGCATGGGTTGGGTTGAGTTGGGTTTTTGGTCCACCTGACCCGACTCGAAAATAAAGAGTCCTCCACCCGACAACCGACCCAATCTGATCCATGCCCATCCCTAGAATGAATAAAGCGCCGAAAGCATATCCGATACTTACTCTCACGTGTAAAAAACCTTGAAAATGTCATTACAGACCATATGCCACAACCTTATACCCTCACAACAGGTAATGTCTCCCTACACCTTCTAGCGATGGGAACGGAACTCGAATCTCACGGGTTCTGATTCGATACGTCCGACTCTATCTACCAGATTTTTTATAATAAAAAAAACCGGAGATCGATTGGGTTGGATTTGAGTTTAGGGTAAAAAATATTCGAGCCGACCAAAAAAAATTATAATGTTACCTTATAAATTTAGGGATAATTGCAATAAAACTCCTATATATGTGTGTGTTTCAATTAAATCCTCATTTTTTATTAAATAAAAGTATTTTTTATAAATATATTATTTCGGATTGGATTGAGTTTCGATTTTATCTCAAAAGGACGGGTCGGGTTCGGGTGTATAATTTTTGGGTCGGGTGGATGTGTATAATTTAGTGTCGGATTGGGTTGACCAGAAACCCGACATAACCGGACCATGTCCATCCCTACACCCACCACGATCTTGTTAACGGGGCCTTTTGTTTGGTGAAAATAACACCGTCATCGCCACTGAAATTCTTTTGCAGGTTTCACTCAGATAGATGATTCTTTCTTTACTTGCGACAAATTATCCCGTATACTACTTACAGATGTAAAAACCGGACCGGTGGTTGAACTGGTCAGACCATTAAACTTTGATTTGATCGGTTGAACCATCGAAATAAAAGATTAAAAAAAATTAACCAGTTGAATCACTGGGGTTGTTACCTTGAAATTTGGTTTTTTACCGGTTCACATAATTTTAGGTCACACCACCAGTTCAATCAGCTGGATCGTTGGTTTTTAACTCGATCGGTCGTTCTGGTCCGATTCTCATTCACTGTTATTGAGGAATTATAAAAATCGATTAAATATTCTTCTTGTAAAATAAGTTCACACTTTTTATTAAAATTGTCTTCACATTTTATTTTAATAGATTAAATTTAAACTTAAATTTAAATCATTGACCTTTAAAAATTAAAACAAACATATAATTTAATAAAATATCAATTTTGAGCGTTTTGGTAGAACACTACACTTTCTCTTGTATAAAAAACTTTTGAATTCAATTAATTTCACTTATTTTTAAACACATATTTCTTTTAAAAAATTATATTTTTAAATGTTTTTTTATAAAAGATGACTTTATAGGTGATTGATTGATTATACTTAATTCAAATAATCATGGCGACATTATCCCAACTACTATCATTTAGAGTTTTAATTAATAAATTAAAATATAATTTCAATGAAAGTTCAAAAAAAAAACTTTGCATAATCAATGGTTAGTTCAAGTGGTACGTAACCTGATATTGTTTAAGTAGGGTTTTAGGTTCGATTATTTGTGTATACAAAAAATTTTCGTTGAATGACTCACTCAACAAAGTCAGGTGTGCGATCCAGATCAGTCCAGATTAATCAAGGTGAAGCCTTGAAACGGGAGGGAAACAAAAAAAAAATACCTTATACATAATGTTAATATAAAAATAACTGTATGAAGTGGATGAAAATAAAACAGATATAAATTCGTCCACTGACATTCCCAGAGATGGATCGAGAGGGCGGGTGGGGACAATTATCTCCTGAAATTTTAAAATTACTATATTTTAATTTTTTTTATATAATTTCTATTTAATTTTTTTTTACTCCCATAAATTTTATAAATTTAAGTTTATCCTAAATTAAAATTCGTCCGGGAACATAAAATTTTATGTTATCTATGTACATTCCCGTACACAACCTTCTTTCTTTCTCCCTCCCTCGTTTACTTATATAAACAAGGAAAGAGCCTGACAAATCATCTTTGATCGCTTTCATGAATTTTTCATTATGCTCAATGGCACAGCTCTTAAGCTTCTTTTTACAGCACATCTTTATAAGCATTTGGATCTTTTCCTCCTCTTTACGCTACTTCCAAAGCCCCTTTTCCCACTCTTAGGTCAACTCACCTTCCCATTTTCATAAAAGCTAAACCTAATTTACTAATTACACACTCAAGGCCCTTTTTTTGGGTAAATTATGTATTTAGTACCTAAACTATTCATTTTGATTCGTTTTAGTATTTAAACTTTTAATTTTTTCACAACCATACCTAAAGTTTATTTTTGTTTCATTTTAGTATCCTGTTCAAAATTTAACGTTAAGTTTTGAAAAAATTGAAAGTTTACGCAATAAAACGGACCGAAATTGATAGTTCAGGTACTAAACATGTTAAGTTTGTAACTGTGAGTACTAAAATGAAACAAAAATTAAATGTTAGGTGTGATTTTAAATTTTCTTTTGAAAGTTTAGACATTAAAACAAACCAAAACATATAGCTTACGTATTAAACTCGTAGTGTATCCTTTTATCCATATATTTTGGTGAGGTATGCTAGGAATGGCATATCCTATATGTTTAGTCTTTGGATTTATCATTTTGTTTCTACAACACTTCAACAACTCTTACCTACACACATACGACACCAATCATACAAATACATTGACCATTGAGCTATGATCTTCCTCAATCTCTACAAAGACCGATTCTTTTGATCCATACCTATTTTATAATCATATATATATCTGATTTAATAGTCGACTAATTCAAATAAGATATTGTATAAATTCACGATAATGGTGATACTCCCAATCTGACTTGTATCATTCGTAATACTAAGATTCAAACTATGAACATTGTTTAAAGAATTTAATTGCTTCATTTACAATACTAAGATTCAATGCTCTCAATCTAACTTACTCCATTTAAACTAGGGTAAGTTATGTGTTTAGTACCTAAACTATCAATTTTGGTCTATTTTAGTACCTGAACTTTCAATTTTTTCAAAACTATACCTAAAGTTTAGTTTTTGTTTCATTTTAGTATCTCGCCGATAAAAAAATTAGTTTTTGTTTCATCTTAGTACCCGTTTAGATACTAAAATAGACCAAAACGGATAGTTTAGGTACTAAACACGTTAAGTTTTTAACGGTCAGTACTAAAATGAAATAAAAAATTAAACGTTACATATGATTTTGAATTTTTTTTTTAAAATTTAGGTACCAAATATATCAAAACTGATAATTTAGATACTGAATATGTAGTTTACCCTTTAAACCACTAGGATTCAGAACCTAAACATTAATAAATATGATTAAATTATTAAATTAAGGAACATAAATAAAATTCATGACTTACACAAAATATATGGAATAACATCAGATTTCAAATTAAAGAAATTAAATCTATAACTTATAAATACTAAAGGGACTGATAACTGAATTTGACCAAGAAAACTGACGTTAAATATTTCAGCATTGACTAGTCAATCTGACTTATTCTTGATTTCTCTTCCTTCTCACAGCAGTGATGAAACCAGATCCTTGTTATAATGCGAAATGTGATGATGATAATAATAATAATAATAACAATGATGAAGTTTTAATAGTCATTTCAGAAGGGAGACCCCTCAGGTAAAGGATCGGGGGAACACATCGATGTAAGTGTATCACCGGCGGATCCTGCAGGGGACATGTGCCGGTGGCCGAGCCTCACGTTGCCTCTAATATCGGATTTGGTTGTTCTTTTGCGTCTTTGACCCCAGCACCACCGTCACCTCCGCCGCATGCTGCAAGCAACTATCATTTGTGGTCGTCTCGGACTCTTCTTTGTTGACCTAAATAAATTTCACCCTTCACTTGTATCGGTTAGTTTTTAGGGTAAACTATATCAGATACTACCAAACTTTAAAAATTGTATCATTTATATTACTGAACTTTTATTTTTTTCAATTATAGTACTAAATTTTGATTTTCCTTTCAATTATACAACTGTACCATTAAATCGTTAATGACATGATGATGTGACTGACGACTATTGACATGGCTGAATTGAAATGAAAATCAAAGATTAATGCTATAATTGGTAAAATTAAAAATTCAGTTGTATAAACAATACAACGCCTGAAATTCGATGGTATATGATGTAGTTTACTTTTTTTTATTAATCTAAGAGTAATTACAAGTGATACTATTGTTTTAAAGACATTCAAATACTCTATAGTCGTTGGTGTTCGAACCCAAAATATCTAGAAATAATAATCATCCTTTAATAACTAATATAACTTGATTCATGCATAATATTATAAATATCACATCTTGCCTTTTAAAATGATCACGTAACATATGTTCTATTGTTTTTTTTTTGTCCTTCATTTTATTTTTATTGGGTATTCCAAAGGATATGTTTTATGAAATATCCTCAAGTATAATGTCTAATACACGTTTCAAATGACTTAAATTCAATAAATAACTTTAGAGCCTATCTTACTCTCCTTAATTTTATGTATGTCAATGGCTCATTGGACATCCACTCGGACAAATTAACCATTAATTAGTTGATCCCAGCACAGCTTTAGAAAAGCTTTTATAAATGGATGTCCCTTGTTCTCATATGTGATGGGGGTAAGGGGGGGTAAGGGGGAGGTAAGATAGTAGGCTGCCCCCAATATCAGGTTGAGAGCAGTTTCCGTAGAAGACCTCTGAATTATGAAATGCCTTACGTGAGACTCGATCTTACGACCTCAAGATTAAAAACCTTGTGCTCTACCAACTGAGCTGGATAGTCATCTCTTTAGAAAATCTTTTATAAAGATGTAAAAAACGATCCGATCATTCCCACATCGCTTGGAAAGGAGAAAACGATGGAACAATAAAAGAGAAATATATTTAATATCAAAGCATATTCATGTGTGGGGGAAAGTTTCCATCTATCGCATTTGATGGACCTTTTTGCCCAATTGATTGAGAACCAAACCGGTAA